CGCCGGCGGACCGCTCGTGCACGCGCGCGCGCCCCGCTTCTCATCCCGGCCCCTCCACCCCGGAGCGGCTGCGCATGCTCACTCCCCCGCTCCGGGCGACCCTCCGCCCTCTCGGCTCGCGCTCCGGCTCGCGCAGCTGACGGCGCCCAGCGTCCGCCCGCAGTGGGGCGGAGGGAAGCGCTGCACGTCACTGGCGCCACCGCCGGATCTCGCTGCTGATTGGGTGCTCCAAGGGAACCGACTTCACGCCTCCCCTCCGCCCCCGGCCCCCCGGCGCGCGCCCTGGAGACCAGGAGCCAGCGCAGGAGGCGGAGGAGGGTGCGCTAAGTGCACGGTAACTCCGACCCACTGTGGGGGCTGTGAGAGTCGGGGAGACGGACGCTGTGACAGTTCAAGTCTTTGCCTTCAAATGACATGCGTTTCGAAAAGGGGTTTGCACGCAGCTCTTTGTAAAGGTGTAATATCTCAGCGTTGGGATTATTTCTGGAGGTTTTTTTTTCCTGAGAGACTGCTTAGTGACCTGCGTAAGCCACTTATTTGCAAAATATATGTTAAAACCACTCAAGCAGAAAAAGATCTGCATTGTCATTCAATCCGCCTTACTACCCGCACCAATAAGCCTCCCCTTCAGATCAGAGATCTGAAATCACCTACTGAGGCAAGGCTCGGCAGGTGTCCTAATCCCCATCGCCTTCTTAGCTCTCCTGGCAGTATGCTTTGTATCTAAACTGTAGGTCTCCGTTATTCCCCACCCCCAGCATTTCAATTAGATCCCTGTTTCCTTCCTGTTTTGCCGTCCTTTCACAAGTTCAGGGTTAGCCTGAGGAGCCTCTCAAGCTAATGTCCTCTTGGTCAAGTGAAACCTTTGAACTTTATAAATAAAAATTCAGTTTTGGCAATAACGTAAATATGCCCTGGCCAGCCACCCCTCCTCCAGCTGCATGTCTTTACAACCCTTCTGTCTTTTAATAAAATTTTACAAAAGAAGGTAAAGAAATATATCCTGTGGCTAAATCAGATAGTTTTGGTAAAGCAGTGAAAGGTTGAGTCCCCCGCAAAATGGCGCTCTTGGTGACCACTATAAAAATAATAATTACATGCAAACAGATACGTATTTATGTGTGTTGTTTTGATGTCACAACACAGGAAGGGTAATTTTTTTGGATCATTGTTAGGAATTGAGCCCAAACTTCGAGTTTATCTTCCTTCTAGAGTTTAGACTTGGTTAGATTTGTTGCTATAAGACTATACAATAGTGGACATAAAAGAAACTTTATTTTTCTAATTTATTTTATTTTACAGGTAGGGAAACTGATTCTGCAGAATTAAGTGACTTACTAAAGATGGCCCTACTTCAGAGAGTGTTTGAATTCCTGCGCTACTATTCTTTCTAGCAACCACACTACCTGTCCTAACTCACTGTTAACGCCCTAACTTTAAATTTGTGTATGGGGAAGCACAAGTTACTGAAAATCATTAAGGGATTTGGTAATACATGATTAGTGATGTTAAGCAGCTTGACCACATTCAGTGAATGGCCCAGAGCAACCTCTCAGAGCAGGAGCTGGTTACACTCAGATCAGAAACTTTTAGTTACTGTACATGGAATCTAATGAAGTTCTTGTGATTATGCACTAATATTTAAATGTAGGGCATAGCACTGGGTTACAGCAGCCCATCCCCACACTTCTCTACTGTAAACTTGTACTTAAGTATAATAGTAGCTGGCTGTGTGTCTCAGTAGCTGTGCCTGGGAGATACAAGAAACAATCTTCATGTTTACCCACTTGGTACGGTGAGTGGCAAGGTTTGTACATGTGTGCAAAAGTGTGAAACTGGGATTTTTACCCACATAATGCTCCCAAAGATTTTGAGTAGGATTACCTGAGCATCAAAGGGGGTAAAATGCACCCATACCACTCTTCTGTTCTGTAAAAATGCATTTTTCATAAACAGAATGTGACTATGCCTCACAGTAGCTGTGCCTAGGGAAAGCAAAAACCCATCTATGCATTCACACACTTGACAGATGAATGGAAAAGTGTATAGGAGATCCGAAGCAGCAATAGGTGAGTTTTACCTGTGAGATGATCACTGATAAATTTCTCTGCATTTAGGGTTTATTTTTAAATTACTTTCTTTTGGTTTTTCTTTTAGAAGTAGCCCAGTTCAATACAATGGCACATAAAAAAAGATTTGCAAGTTTTGGAGGAGGTCAAAAGTGAATCATCAAATCATTCATGCACGGATGATAAAGATGAGCATGACTTTGACATTGGCTATGTGAGCCAAAGTTCCTGTGGCAGCGAAATGGAAAAGACTGATATAGACACAAGGGATGCAGACCTCCTTAATTCAGATGATGAAGAAAACAGCACTGTGAATACATATTTGACTAGTAAAAATGGTCACACAACCAAATGGAATGATCTAATGTTAGAACTAGGTCCAAAAATTTAGTAAGGAGCTATCCAGGGGTGAAACCTAATGGACAGAATGCCAGTACTGCCATTTAATGTGGAAATTCTTTGTAAGAGATGAAATGCTAAAGATGTTATAAAATTCACAAATACAGAAATATAAATATAATGTTCTGTACTCAGCAACAGCCATGTGCAAAAATGTATTTATTATGACACTACACTAGCTGACCTAAAAGGACTCGTAGGTCTGCTGTACTTAGCAGGGCTTTCTCATGGTAATCTCAGGAATGTAAAATACTTATAAAAAGGCAATGAGTGTGGGCTTGTGGTTTGAGGAGATTTGGTTTCTTTCAAAATTGCCTGTGGTTTGATGACAAAATCACCCTCTAAGAAAGAAAAAGACCTCATAGTTTGGCTACTATCCACTCATGGTTCGAGAGATTTGTTAGTAATTGTTAGGCAATTTACACACCATCTGAATACATGACTATTGATAAACATCTTGCAGTATTTCATGCTTGCTATAGCTTTAGGCAGTATATTTTGAAAAACATTCAAACTATGACATAAAAAATGCTGTGGGTGTGACAATTGAAATAAAGATGATTTTGTTGCAGAATTCTATTGGTTTTTTCATTGTAATTCATATAGGAATTTATTTCTGATGTTCTTTTAGGTTTTGTGAGCAAGTACAGAGTTGATGTGAAAATGTTGTTTATTCCAAACATGAACTATATATTAAGAATTTAATACTTTATTTCATTGCTATTTTATATTCCTGTTAACTATACATTATATAATATAGTAAGAACCTCATGACAAAACAGCAAGATCAACAAGATGCCAAGTATGTCCTACAAAAAGGCCAGGAAAGCAAAACACATGCGTTGTCAGTGTAAGCAATAGGTGTGTATGGAGCATGCTGTTGTCATATGTGGAGACTACCTTAAGTGTGATAATCGATGTAAAGACTTTTTTGTATAGTTCTATTGGTATTTTCATTGTAGTTCATACAGAAACTTATTTCTGCTGTTACTTTTTAGACCTTGTACACCAAAAAACAGTCAATGTTGAAAATGTTGATGCTTTTTTATGAACACTCAAAAATATTAAAAATTCAATAATTTTTATACTTTTTTCCTGTGTACTTATTGCTATTATAATAAAAATCAAAATTAAAATTAATAATTCATCAATAGAAGTAGTCTAAAGCATAAACATGGATATTATACATATACAATAATGCACCTTCATGACAAAATCAATGTTATGCACCACAGTAGCATACATTTAAAATATTCAGAACCTGGGACAGTGCCCAGTACATTGTGCTCCATTAAAGTTGATGAATGAATAATTAAAAGAACTTCATAGAAACCTCAGCATTTTTCTTGTCCCACATGATTTTGTTTTTACTATAATCTATGTTTTGATGTTATAAAATAAGAGACACAATAATTAGGCCACAGCTTGATAGTTGTCTTTCTTAACTCAAGAACTCCTCCCCCATCTTTCAATTCTGTTCAATCTAGTAAGAATTGCTTTGGCATCTGTAACATTCTCTATAAAGCATTGCCTATAGGATTTGAGGATTAGTAAGATTCCTACTCTTTAGACTAATTCATTGTATTTAACTTGTATTTGCCTTGAAAAATCAAATGACACCCACTGTAGTAGAAGACTGGATCCTGAAGGCTACTGAATATTTCCTCAACAGCAAGAATTAGGAAACCCCAAACCAAGTCAATACAAATGAAAGTTGTGATTTTCTTTCCTTGTAAAATTTTAATATTGAGTGAATTAGTCATATACCTGCTAGAAGTCAAAGAACACCCCATATAAATCTCAAGATAGCCCTTTCAGGCCTGTTCTCTTAAGTGTGAAGTGAATAAATCATTCTTCGTTTATTCCTTTCCCATATATGAGAAAACACCCATACATATTAGCTACTCTATTAATTGCCTGGAGAGAGCTGAGAGAAAAGCTTTTACAATCAGTTGAGATATAAAAATAATATTGATCCCTTGAGAAAAACATTAACCATCAAGGATATTCATTATTTCCATATTTTTTGCAATACAGTACTCTATGATAGACTTCACAGAAGATAGGGAACTTAATTTCATCTTGTTACGCATTTCAGCAATTCTACCTTGAGTGAATTTAATAGATTGATACCTGGAAAATGTGATTTGATCAGTGGCTCTAACACTTCCTAGTTTTAAGTAGGAATAATAATAATAGCATCTCTTCAGATTTTCCTTTTCCTTTTAATAATAGTGATAATCAAGCCAACCCTTTTCACATGTCAGACATTGTGCCAAGTGCTATATATTAGCTTACTTAATTTTCAAAAGATTGGGTTGAAATTTCACAATACCATTAAACTAATTTCTTTTAAAATCATATGCCTCTCCATACTTCTGTGTGACTCCTATTTGTTCCTGTACACAGAAAAATGAGAACTGTTAGTTGGGTTGTTTTCTTTGATTCTATACACATAATGAATATTATTTTTATATTCCCTAATACTCTTTTTCATTTCCTGGAATTAACCCTTACTTGGTTATGATTTCCTATTCTTTTCATATGCTACTTAATTCTACATTTTAATTATTATAATTTTACCATCAATATTGTAAGCAATATTGAACTTACAGTGAGTACTGCTTTAGTCATATTCTATAGTTTTGATATGTAGTAGTCTATTAATAGACTGGTAACTCTGCCATTTTAATTTTGATTTTTACTTTGAAGTTACTTTAGTGTTTTGGTTTTTGCTTTTTTGTGTTTTTTTTTTTTCCATTACCAGGAATTGAACTCACAACCTTGCGCTTGCCAGGCAGGCGCTGTGCCACTGAGCTAAATCCCCAGCCCCTTTGAAGTTACTTTCAAGAGAGTTTCTTTTTATTTTTTATTGTTATTAGTATATGTTTGCAGTAAATGATGTTTCCATTCCTCTCATGGAGTTGGCACACTTAATTCTTTTTTCCATTCTCTTTCCCTCTCCTTCTTTTGCCTCCCTCCATCTCTTGATCCCATTCCCATTTCAGAAAGATCTGTCTCCCTATTTCCTATTATTTGTCTTTTATTTTGCTTTTTTATTTACGCTTTGGGTTTCTCATGTAGAGAAACCATATAATATTTAAGCTTGGGTGTCTGATTTATTTTACTTAATATTATAGTGACAAGATGCACCCATTTTCCTACAAATGGCTCAAGGTTATCTTTCTTTGTGGAAAAATAGCACTCCATTCTGTGGAGCCTTTTTTTTAAATCCTCCTTTGAAGAGAAATGATTCTACATTTGTTAGCAATCAATAGCTTAAGTATAGTTTAGTTGAAGAATGTTATCTATACTATTTCTTCTTTGGGAATTTATTGAAGTTTTTCCTTGTGGCCCAGTACATGTACATGGCTAATTTCAGTTAATGAGCATGTGAAAAAGAGGCATGTTCTCTGTTTTAAAAAATAGTCTTGGCTTATATAAAATCTATCACATTTAATATGCTACTAGCTGGGCATGGTGAAGCATGCCTGTAATCCCAGCACTCTGGAGGCTGAGGCAGGAGGATCGTTGTGAGTTTGAGACCAGGCTGGGCTACAAAGTGAGCTGAAGGCCAGCCTGAACTGCATAGCAAGACCCTGTCTCAAAAAGACAAAAAAAAAATTAATATGCTACTAAATGTCTTCTATAATCTTACTTACTTTTGTCTACCAGATCTGTTATAGTCTGTATATTAGGTTTTAGTAGCCTTCAGTAGTCTATGCTGCATAGCAAAATAACTCAAAATCCCATTGACTTCACCAGCAAATGTCATTCCTCACTGGTGCTACAAGCGGATGGCAGAGTGGTAACTGTTCCTCTGGAGTTGGCTTCTTTGGCTCAGTACCTTCCACAAGGACCCAGGGCTGAAGAAGTAGCCACTGTCTGCATGCAGGGCCACCGTGGGACACTTGCCTTGCCGGAAAAATGTAAGGGCACTCCAAAAAATTGATAATCAAGACAAATATTCTAATGTAATATTTTAAAATTTTATTTCAAAAATGAAAGGAGGAAAACATTAACAGACAGACAGCCTTTTACAAAATAGCAAAAGAAAACTACAGACAATACAGAATTACAAACAAAGTGGTAGGAAATTAACAATGCTTGTTGTATTATATATTGATATCTTCAAAGTGGTTTTTCATGTAAACAGAGACATGTAATATTGATCAATCAAGGACTCATTAACAGTTTCTTTCAAAATTTCTCCTTCTTTCCCTTCTCTTTTCCCACATCCCTGTTGCCCTTTACCCTTCAGCGTTTTCATATCATTTCACAATGTCTATCATACCTCTGAGTTTTTATTAACTCTTTCAGGTTTTACACTAGTGAGACAATGCAGTGCTTGCACATGCAGGTCTGATTT